CCATTAATGTCCCATTAATTGTCATTGCAAGCATCCAGAATAAAGTCCATATTGTGTCACAATCCAGTTATAGCCAGGTTGTGATATTAAAGCGTTCACAGTGGAAGTCCATATTGTGTCACAATCCAGTTACAGCCAGGTTGTGATATTAAAGCGTTCACAGAGGAAATCCATATTGCGTCACAATCCAGTTATAGCCAGGTTGTGATATTAGAGTGTTCACAGTGAATTGTGCAAACCTCCTATTCAGCAAGTAATTTGTGATCAAGCTCACCATGGAATTGTCTTCCAATTTGCTATCTGTCAAACTGGCTACATCTATAGATGGATTGGATATGTCCCATTTGTGCTTTATTCTATCCCTAGAATTCTTTACCTTATTCTAAAAATCTCTTTTTATTCTTGTAAACAGAAGAAAACGAAGACAAGCTCTGGCACACGAGGATAGTATTTTTCAGTCTCAACTTCCCAATCTATATCTCAAATAGTTCTTGCAATTTGCAGCATACTGTTGGATATAAAATTGAATCGTTTATGTTTTTTTCTCCTAGCAGAAATATTATAAAAATGCAGCTAGAGCACCTTTGTGGTTATTTTTTATTGCAGGCTGACTGAAGCAGGAACCAAAATGTTGCAGCTTAGTAAAGCTGCAATAAACCCGCCCTTCCAATCTTAATGTTTAAAGTAGCATTACCTTTCTGCAGAGAGCAGGGGAAAAAAAGAGTTTAAAAGAGACTCTACATAATAAGGAAGCTATGAGACAGAGGAAAAGACGAAACGTTAAAAATTAGAAAAAAGCACTTGCGATTTTCCACCAGCCCTAAGAGACTTTATTTCATCTCATATCGCGCTTAGGATGAGAACTTTCCTTCGGCACCGGAACTCAGAACTGAACATCGTTCTGTACCGGAAGTGTCGAAGGGGAATAGTCTTTCCCCTTGGGCGCCGACCATAGCAAGAAATTTGTCCCTCAATGACATCCGTAGAGAGGGCGGGGTTATTTCGAGAAGAGCTTCTGGATAGTTTTTCGGAAGCTTCTTTGGCTCAGGGGAGCGGTGGGCGCCTACGGCAGCTGAGAGACCATGTTCCGCCTTGAGGGTCTGGGGCCCAAGCTGGACCCGGAGGAGCTGAAGCGCAAAATGCGCGAGGACGTCCTCTGTTCGATCCGCAACTTCCTCATCTACGTAGCCGTGCTGCGCGTCGGTGAGTACCTCTCGCGCGCCCACATCTGGGACGGCGGCTGCCACGTGCTGGGGAATTTTCTTGGGAGCCGCTGCAGAACCGGGATTTATGAGTGATCTTCACATTGGGGTTTTATACGGGCTCCAGCATTTCATATCATTAGAAGATCGGGGTGGAGTAGTGGCTAAGGCAGGGGTAGGCAACCTTGGCTCTTTTATGACTCGTGGACTTCAATTCCCAGAATTCCTGAGCCAGCAACGCTGGCTCAGGAATTCTGGGAGTTGAAGTCCACGAGTCATAAAAGAGCCAAGGTTGCCTACCCCTGGGCTAAGGGGTTGAAGTAGGTCCAGAGGGGAATTGGATTCAAGGCAACTCTGGCTCATGGAAGGTCCACGGGTGGGAGAGGGGAGAGAGAGACCTTTGGCCAGGCATGCCTCGGTCCAACCCTGCCGAGTTATTTTCGGGAAAAATGGGAAAGGCAATTTGCAGTTTGGAGTTAAGAGTAGACTATTACCTATTTACAGGTAGTCCTCGGCGTACGATCACAACCGAGCCCAAAATGTCTATTGTTAAGCGAGACATTTGTTCAGTGAGTTTTGCCCCATTTTGCGACCTTTCTTGCTACAGTTGTTAAGTGAATCGCTGAAGTTGATAAGTTAGTAACCCGGTGGTTAAGTGAATCTGGCTCCCCCATTGACTTTGCTTGTCAGAAGGTCGCCAAAAGTGATCACGTGACCCTGGGATGCAGCAACGGTTGTAAGTATGAACCAGTTGCCAGGCATCTGAATTTTGATCACATGATCGTGGG